CCCTTCCACTTCTAACCACATGTATAGAGTGTAGATTTCCCTTTTCTCCCCTACCCCTCTTTCCGCAGACTTCCATCCCGACCCTCGTTCTAAACCAATACATAACAACCCTGCTCCTGTATTACAGAGCCGTCTGCCTCTCTTCCTCCCCCGCCCCCTCTCCACCGCCCACCACCCTGCCCTCAATCTAACCCCATCTATAACAACCCTTCACCCTTCCCTCTCCCTTCATTACGAAGCTGCCCCCTCCACCAATGTCCCATGCTCAGTTCAGAAAGTTGACGAGTTCACAGAACACTCCAGCGGAAGCAAGCTGTCAGTGGGGAGAGTAATCCTTGTACGTAATAGGGCTGGTCTCTCAATAAAATAATATGTGTCATAACACGGCCGAATCAGGCGCTCGTCAACTTTGGGGGGTAGATATGAAGTTATTGGTATCATCTTAAAACGTGTTCTTTTGCCTTGCTTTTGGTGAAAATACAAACACCCATTTAACTCAAATATAAATCGAGATAATAATAATAATAATAGTTAGCATTTGTATAGCGCATATCCCCGCTCAACAGCAGGCTCTATGCGCTTTACACTATATTATTACCCCAGCAGACCATAGAACACTCCGAAACAGTCTCAGCTTCCCGAGAAGCATACAGTGCAAGCAGCCGATTAAGCGCTCAAACACTAACAAACTGACAAGATCTTTCGCTGTCTATCTATAACGTATAGCTTTTTAAAACTAATTTTTAGTCGTGTTGAACTTTTGTTTCCTGTACTTGATAATAATGTAACGTGCAATTATCAGTAGGTAGGGAGAGAGGAAGCCCACGAGCCCAGTTTCGAAAGATAACTAAATGCAATTAAAAATAGTAAATCTACACATCCCTCTTTGAGAGCCCAGAACAAGACCCTCGTATCTCATCAACCCACCCCCTCCATTTCTGAGACTTCCACGTGCGTTGGTACAATAAATATGACGTGTTCATTCAAGAGGTAAACAAAGCCAAAATGTCTTTCCGCTTATTTAAGAACAAGCAATAACTCAAGCTGTGAAGAAGGCGTCATCTTTTCTGTACAAACATACTTGGAAGTCTCAGAAATGAAGGTTCGAATCCACAACAGGACATTCTGTATTTGGATATGTTTTGGGAAGTTTTAAAGCTCTTCACCCATCTCGTTCGAACCTACCTGAGATGGACGTTAAATTAGGAAGTCCTGCTTCTTAGATAACCTTATAGTGTTGAAAGGGCCATTAAACTTATATAATCTCGCGCTTTATTACATCGTGTCCCCTCTCACAGAGCATTGCCCTGCTCCTCGTCTAGTTACAAGGTTACCGTGAGGACACAAAGTGACCCTCTGTGGCACTCTTGTCGCTTAGATAAATGACGTATTGGCTATAAAATACGATAGTTTGGTCATCTGCCTTCGACGTATCAAACATTTGACATTTATATTATTGTGCAGGATGGTTGTCGTCAGTTCCTGAGCTCGCTCTCTCTCTCTCTCTCTCTCTCTCTCTCTCTCTCTCTCTCTCTCTCTCTC